CAATCTCGGCTCACTGAAACCTCTGCCTCCTGGGTTCAAGCGATTCTTCTTCCTCAGCTTTCTGAGCAGCTGGAATTATACCCAGCTAATTTTTGTATTTTTAGTAGAGATGGGGTTTCGCCATGTTGGCCAGGCTGCTCCCCAACTCCTGACTTCAGGTGATCCACCTGCCTCAGCCTCCTAAAGTGCTGGGATTACAGGCGTGAGCCACCACAGCAGGCCTACTCTGTCTCTTATGTCACTCACATCTTCCAAAAGAATGGTGAAAAACAGGCCGGGTGCATTGGCTCACACCTGTAATCCCAGTCCTTTGGGAGGCCAAGGTGGGCGGATCACCTGAGGTCAAGTGTTTGAGACCGGCCTGGCCAACATGAAGAAACCCCGTGTCTACTAAAAATACAAACATTAGCTGGGCGTGGTGGCACATGACTGTAATCCCAGATATTTGAGAGGCTGAGGCAGGAGGAGAATCGCTTGAACCTGAGAAGCAGAGGTTGCAGTAAGCCAAGATGGTACCACTGCACTCCAGCCTGGGCAACAGAGTGAGACTCTGTTCCAAAAAATAATAAATAAATAAATAAATACAAACATTAGCTGGGTGTGGTGGCATGTGCCTGTAATCCCAGCTACTCTGGAGGCTGAGACAGGAGAATCACTTGAACCTGGGAGGCAGAGGTTGCAGTGAGCCAAGATCCTACCACTGCACTCCAGCCTGGGTGACAGAGCAAGACTCTGTCTCTAAAAAAAAGACAAAAAGAACAGTGAAAAATAAAGTGAGTTCCAATTTGGAGGTAAATACCTTTAAGAGTACTTTAGATTTACACAGCACACAATTACATAGAAAATATTTATAAACTGCACTTCACGAAATAAATAAATAAATAAATAGAAAATAAACTGTCCTTCACTTGAACTGTAAGCTATACTCTGAGGTTACCATTTGTGTGTTAAGACTCTAAAGCTCTGTAAGTTTTTTTTTTTTTTAAATAGACTGGTCAGGCTGGGTACGGTGGTTTACACCTGTAATCCCAGCGCTTTGGGAGGCTGAGGTGGGTGGATCACCTGAGGTCAGGAGTTCAAGACCAGCCAGGCCAACATGGTGAAACCTTGTGTCTACTAAAATTACAAAAATTAGCCGGGCGTGGTGGTAGGCACCTATAATCCCAGCTACTCGGGAGGCTCAGGCAGGAGAATTGGCTTCAACCGGGGATGCGAAGGTTACAGTGAGATGAGATCGCACAGTATACTCCAGCCATCTGGGCGACAGAGGAAAACGTCATCTCAAAAAAAAAAAAAAAAGAAGGCTGGGCACAGGGGCTCACGCCTGTAATCCTAGCACTTTGGGAGACCAAGGCAGGCAGATCACCTGAGGTCGGGAGTTTGAGACCAGCCTAATCAACATGGAGAAACTCCGTGTCTACTAAAAACACAGTATTATCCAGAGAAACTCTGTGTCTACTAAAGATACAGTATTATCTGGGCATGGTGGCGCATGTCTGGAATCCCAGCTTTCCAGAGGCTGAGTCAGGAAAATCGCTTGAACCTGGGAGACGGAGGTTGGAGTGAGCCAAGACTGCGCCATTACACTGGGCAACAAGCGTGAAACTCCGTCTCAAAAAAACCCCCAGAAAATATAATAGTGTTATAATTTACAAAACCACCCATTAACATCTACACTATATGTACTAAAACATCTTTGAAAATCTGTAAGAACATATGCTGAATTATTTAGCGTTTATATCTGAATAGGTGTAATTACTAGATCAACTTCATTATATATTTTTCTATTGCTTAAATTCGTTTTTAAGAGCAAATTTATTTTGGACTTGCAACCAAAAGCCATGATTCTTCAAAAAAAAGAAAATCGGGGCAGAGCGCGGTGGCTCACGCCTGTAATTGCAGCACCTTGGGAGGCTGAGGTGAGCAGATCACTAGGTCAAGAGATGGAGTCCAGCCTGGCCAACATGGTGAAACCCTGTCTCCACTAAAAATACAAAAATTAGCCGGGCCTGGTGGCGCGCGCCTGTAATCTCAGCTACTCAGGAGGCTGAGGCAGGAGAATCCCTGGAACCCGGGAGGTGGAGGTTGCAGTGAGCCAAGATCGTGCCATTGCACTCCAGCATGGGTGACAGAACGATAGTCCGTCTCAGAAAAAAATAATAAGAAGAAAGAAAGAAAATCAAGATTTTCTTTGGTTTCTTTTTTCTTTTTCTAAGGAGTCTCACTCTCCACCAGGCTGGAGTGCAGTGGTGCCATTTTGGCTAACTGCCATTTCCACCTCCACAGTTTAAGTGATTCTCCTGCCTCTGCCTCCTAAGTAGCTGAGATTACAGGTGTGAGCTACCACATCCGGCTAATTTTTGTATTTTTAGCAGAAATGGGGTTTCGCCATGTTTGGCCAGGCTGGTCTTGAACTCCCGACCTCAAGTGATCCGCCTACCTCAGTCTCCCGAAGTGCTGGGATTGCAAGTGTCAACCACTGCACACAGCCTTTCTTTGGTTTCTTGGTGACTGTGGGTTTTACTACCTTCTGCCCTAGGTCTTCACCTCAACTTGAATATTGACCTATTGGATATAGGAAACAAGTTGTTATTTCCAGTAATAGTTAATTTCCAAAAGCAAATTAAACAGTGAAAACCAGACACCAATCTCCTTTTTTTCGCTCATCTCTCACTTCCTTTCTTCAGCCCCCAGCTTGATGCTTTCATCATAAGAGATGCTTCAAGTCTATGTGCAACTCAAAATCTTCCCTCTCTCAGATCCCAGACCTCAAGCCAGGTATCTTTCCTCAGCCTCTCAGTAACCCTACATACTGAATATCCCCCAAACCGGGGAAGGCCCTGTAGATTCCATCAGTGCTGCCCACACAGCCATCACACACGTGTTAACTCCCACTGGATCCCTGAACAATTCCTGTGCTCATTAGGTCAGTAAAACTGGCTCCATTATCTACTGAAGATTATCCTTTCGGCCGGGCACGGTGGCTCATGCCTGTAATCCCAGCATTTTGTGAGGCGAAGGCAGGTGGATTACGAGGTCAGGAGATCGAGACCATGGTGAAACCTCGTCTTTACCAAAAATACAAGAAATTAGCCGGGCGAGGTGGCGGGCGCCTGTAGTCCTAGCTACTCAGGAGGCTGAGGCAGGAAAATGGCGTGAACCCGGGAGGCGGAGCTTGCAGTGAGCGGAGACTGCACCACTGCACTCCAGCCTGGCAACAGAGTGAAACTCCCTCTCAAAAAAAAAAAAGATTATCCTTTCAGCAGGTGGAGAGTGGTATCTGCCACATCAGATTTCTCAACAGGATAATAGAAATATAAATTACTCCCATGTTTTGTAGCTGAACTTAATCTGAAGCAAAGAGAAGCCAGATATTTTTTTCCAAAATTTCTAGGCTCTGAATTACCATTTAATATTTCCTCAAATTTACTGGAGCTTCATTATCTGTCCTTTGTAAGAATCAATAATTTTATTAAAATGTTAGTGACACACCATCTTAAAAAACAAAAAAGGTGGAGTGCAGTGGCTCACACCTGTAATCCCAGCACTTTGGGAGGCCATGGCAGGCAGATCACTCGAAGTCAGGAATCTCAATCTGTTGTGATCTCAGCTCACTGCAACCTCCTGCAACAAATTGTTGTATTTTTAGTAGAGACGGTGTTTTGCCATGTTGGCCAGGCTGGTCTCGAACTCCTGACCTCGTGTGATCCACCCAGCTCAGCCTCCCAAAGTGCTGAGATTATAGGCATAAGCCACCTTACCCAGCCACTTACTCAATTCTATCCATTTTTTGAGGCAGGGGACTCACTGCTGCCCAGGCTGGAGTGAGCCCTCCAGGACTCAAGCGATATTCCTGCCCCCCAAGTAGCTGGGACTACCATGGGCCTCCACGTTCAGCTTTTTCTATTTACTTCTAAGATACCGTCTTCTCAGCTAATTTACTCCCTCACCCCAACCAAAAACTTAACAAAGATTTTTGTTTAAGCTGTATTTTTACTGATTGAAACACTAGGAGAATTCAGGCCAAAGTCAACTAAAGGAAAAATGGTTGTTTTATTCCTTAGTACTTAAACCAGCCAAAGTAGTACTGATGTCATAATGCAGCAAACACAAGACCTCTTTCCACAAATATTAGCATAATCAACAAAATAGGGGCTATAGTAAAACAGAGCCAAAAAGGGCTGAGATAATCAATGAAGTATGTTACAGCTTAACCCTTCACCCTTCGCCTCAATAAGGATTTTATTTTATTTTATTTTATTTATTTTATTTATTTTATTTTATTTTATTGACATGGAGTCTGGCTCTGTCATCCAGGCTGGATTGCTGTGGCACCACCTGGGCTCAGCCTCCTAAGTAGCTGGGATTACAGGCGCCTGCCACCACGCCCAGCTAATCTTTGTATTTTAGTAGAGACAGGGTTTCACCATGTTGGCCAGACTGGTCTCGAACTCCTAACCGGAGGTAATCTGCCTCCCTTGGCCTCCCAAATAGCTGGGATTACAGGCATGAGCCACCGCGCCCAGCCTCAGTAGAGTTTTTTAAAAAATAAGCAAAGCCTCCCAATTCCAAACAATAGGAATATATTTTCATCACACCAATTTGTACTTTCATTTCTTATTCTTTTTTTTTTTTTTTCCTTATTCTTGAGGTTAGATTCTAAACCCTAAATGTACCCAAACTGGTATTAGATCTAGTTATCTAGAGTTACCTATATCTAGATATAGCCAGAGACAGCTAGTATCAAGTTGTCTTTAGCAGCCAAGGTTATTAAAATGCCTTTTCTCCAGGAAGATCCAATAGGAAAAAAAAAAGAAAGAAACCTCTCTGATTAGGCTCCAACCATACTCCACCCTCCATCAAATTGACTGGATAGGCATAATGGAACCCAGAACATGTGGTTTCCAAACAAGAAAAATTCTATCAGGGAGGGGAGGAGGGGAGAGGAAGGTTCAGTCAGTGCCCAGATTGAAATTGAGTAATATCAATTTCACTCATCTTCACACAACTTCAGGTTGCATGTTCTTAGGAATAAATCCATGGTTTGTGGAGTACTCAAATACCTAGTCGTCTGCTGTATTACATTAAGGCCTTCCCCAGCAGCTTCCAAGGCAGCCTCCAAGTCACTGGCAGGAGAATTTGGCTGGAACTGCAAGCAGGACTGCAGAGATTCCTCTCCACAGTTAGAGAAGGGACTGTTCCAGGCCTGATTGTTCCAGGACTGGGTGCACCAGGTCTGAGCGTTCCAGGAGTGGTTGCTCCAGGACTGGATGTTCTGGGTCTGGTTGCTCCAGGATGAATTGTTCCAGGTCTGGTTGCTCCACGGCGGAAGGTTCCCAGTCGGGTTCACCAGGCGTCCCTGGTGGCAGGAAGAGTAGAGGCTGGGGGAGGTAGGTGCTGAGGCCTTCTGAAAGAGAAGGAGGGATTAACAGAAAGGGTACAAGGACAACCAGCACTGTCTGTGACTGGCGTTGTGTGTTTCAGGGATGGACAAGATTGAAGGATCACTGAAAGGAAAGCACAGAATAAAGTTTCCTGTTACCTGAGTCACACCATTGCTATTCTTTGGCCAGTTGTTTTTCTGCCACCTCTTAGATTTCATTCTCTGGTTCTGGAACCAGGTCTTCACCTGCAGGAAAAAGTGACAGAAATTATAAAATATTAGTAATACAGATGTTCCTTGAATCAAAGAATATCACTAACTTTTATTCCTGGCGAGGCGCCATGTCTCACACCTGTAATCCCAACACTTCGGGAAGCCAAGGTGGGTGAACTGCTTAAGCCCAGGAGTTCGGGCCAGCCTCACCAAAATGGTTTTGTCTCTACAAAAAATGTTGTCTCTACAAAAATTTAAAAAATTAGTCCGGCATACTTGGTGGCTCAGGCCAGTAATCCCAGCACTGTGGGAGGCCGACGCGGGCGGATCACGAGGTCAGGAGATGGAGACCATCCTGGCTAACACGGTGAAACTCTGTCTCTACTAACTATACAAAAAAAAGAAAAAAATTAGCCGGGCGTGGTGGCGGGCGCCTGTAGTCCCAGCTACTCAGGAGGCTGAGGGAAGATAATGGCGTGAACCCGGGAGGCGGAGCTTGCAGTGAGCTGAGATCGCGCCACTGCACTCCAGTCTGGGCGACAAAGCGAGACTCCGTCTCAAAAAAAAAAAAATTAACCCGGCATAATGGTGTGTGCCTGTGGTCCCAGTTACTTAGGCACAGAGATGGAAGGATCACTTGCACCTGGGAGGTGGAGGTTGCAGTGAGCCGAGATTGCACAGCTGCATTCCAGCCTGGGCAACAGAGAAAGACTGTCTTTAAAAAAAGAAAAAAGAGAAATGACCATTTTCGATAAAAAATAAAGGTTAAAAACAAAAGAAACTGGAGGCTGCTGGCAGAAAGAAAAAAAAGGAAAAAGAAGAGACAGTTTTTATTTTAACGAGAACCAGTGTAAGTTAGGAATTCTCCTAACCTGAAAAGTGGAGTTACGTCTTTTTTTTTTTTTTTTTTTTGAGACAGAGTCTTGCACTTTTGCCTAGGCTAGAGTGCAATGGCAAGATCTCAGCTCACTGCAACCTCCGCCTCCTGGGTTCAAACAATTCTCCTGCCTCAGCCTCCTGAGTAGTTGGGATTACAGGCAGCCACCACCGTGCCCAGCAATTTTTTGTATTTTTAGTAGAGACGGGGGTTTCATCATGTTGGCCAGGCTGGTTTTGAACTCCTGACCGCAGGTGATCTGCCTGCCTTGGCCTCCCAAAGTGCTGGGATTACAGGTGTGAACCACCGTGCCCAGTCCATAATTCTTTTTGATAAAGGGAATGTTGGAAAGATTTTCACAATATTGGTCTGTGCAAGAGAAGAAACTGCTTAAGTTATATCACATTCACATAATAGATATATAATGAAAGAAAGAGGTGAAGAACCTTCCGCCGTGGAGCAACCAGACCTGGAACAATTCATCCTGGAGCAACCAGACCCAGAACATCCAGTCCTGGAGCAACCACTCCTGGAACGCTCAGACCTGGTGCACCCAGTCCTGGAACAATCAGGCCTGGAACAGTCCCTTCTCTAACTGTGGAGAGGAATCTCTGCAGTCCTGCTTGCAGTTCCAGCCAAATTCTCCTGCCAGTGACTTGGAGGCTGCCTTGGAAGCTGCTGGGGAAGGCCTTAATGTAATACAGCAGACGACTAGGTATTTGAGTACTCCACAAACCATGGATTTACTCCTAAACTACTCCACGAACATGCAACCTGAAGATGTGTGAAGATGAGTGAAAATGATATTACTCAATTTCAGTCTGGGCACTGGCTGAATCCTTCCTCCCCCCTCCTCCCCTCCCTGATAGGATGTTTCTCGTTTGGAAACCACATGTTCTGGGTTCCATTATGCCTATCCAGTCAGTTTGATGGAGGGTGGGGTAATGGTTGGAGCCTAATCAGAGAGGTTTCTTTCTTTTTTCCTATTGGATCTTCCCTGAGAAAAGACATTTTAAAAACCTTGGCTGCTAAGGACAACTTGATAGAAGCTGTCTCTGGCTATAGATAACTGGATCTAATACTAGTTTGGATATCTTTAGGGCTTAGAATCTAACCTCAAGGATAAGAAATAAAAGTACAAATTGGTGTGATGAAGATATATTCCTATTGTTTGGGATTGGGAGGCGTTGCTCATTTTTTAAAAAACTATTGAAGTCAGGCATGGTGGCTCATGCCTGTAATCCCAGCACTTTGGGAGGGCAAGGGAGGCAGATCACCTCAGGTTAGGAGTTTGAGACCAGTCTGGCCAACATGGTGAAACCCTGTCTCTACTAAAATACAAAAATCAACTGGGCGTGGTGGCAGGACCATGTAATCCCAGCTACTTGGGAGGCTGAGGCAGTGAGCCCAGATAGTGCCACAGCAATCCAGCCCGGATGACAGAGCCAGACTCCATCTCAAAATAAAATAAAATAAAATAAAATAAAATAAAATAAAATAAAATAAAATAAAATAAAAACTCTATTAAGGTGAAAGGCGAAGGGTTAAGCTGTAACATACATCATCTTCATACTTAAATTATTGCAAGAGAGGGTGTGCTAACACATACCACACATATCTATGTGCATCCACAGAGATCTTAGCCATGCAAATTAGTCTAATTTTTGTTCACCTTATTGCAATGACAAAACAAGCCTACCTGTTTGTAGCTAAGGTTCAGGATGTTGGAAAGTTCTTGCATCTGCTGGAGGCTGAGGTATTTCTGTCTCTGAAATCTATCATTGAGTACACACAGCTGGGCGGAAGAGAACAAAGTTCTGGTCTGTTTCTTGACCTTCCTTTTTTGTGGCACTATTCTCTGCAGCAGTAGGTTGTTTGCCTTTGGGACTGGTGGAAGAATCGGGGCTGTCCTGAATAAGCAGATCCGTGGAGGAAGGAAGAGGAGAGACTGTTGGGAACAAATAAAAGGATGCTCTTCTCTAAAACTTTCTTCAAATATTAAAATATCCTGGTAAAAAAATTGTTTTCAAAGTACTTTGATAATTCCCACAACCCGAGATCTAGGTAATAAGCACCTTCTTATTTATTTATTTATTTAGAGACAAAGTCTGGCTCTGACGCCCAGGCTGGAGTGCAGTGGGGTGATCTCGGCTCACTGCAACCTCCCCTTCCCAGGTTCAAGAGATTCTCGCCAGGCGCGGTGGCTCACACCTGTAATTCCAGCACTTTGGGAGGTCGAGGCAGGTGGATCACCTGAGGTCAGGAGTTCAAGAGCAGCCTGACCAACATGGAGAAACCCCGTCTCTACTAAAAATACAAAATTAGCCGGGTGTGGTGACACATGCCTGTAGTCCCAGCTACTCTGGAGGCTGAGGCAGGAGAATCGCTTGAACCTGGGAGGTGGAGGCTGCAGTGAGCCGAGATCGTGCCATTGCACTCCAGCCTGGGCAACAACAGCAAAACTGTCTCAAAAAAAACAAAAAAAAAAGAGAGAGAGATTCTCATAGTAGAGACAGGGTTTCACCATGTTGGGCAGGCTGGTCCTGAGCTCCTGACCTCAAGTGATCTAGTCGCCTTGGCATCCCAAAGTGCAGGGATTACAGGCGTAAGACACTGCACCCGGCCATAGCACCTTTTTTTTTTTTTTTTTTTTGAGACAAAGTCTCACTCTGTTGCCCAAGCTGGAGTGTAGTGGCGCAATCTCAGCTGGCTGTAACCTCCACTTCCCAGGTTCAAGCGATTCTCCTGCCTCAGCCTCTCGAGTAGCTGGGACTACAGGCTCGCACCACCGTATCTGGCTAATTTGTTTGTATTTTTAGTAGAGACACGGTTTCACTATGTTGGCCTGGCTGGTCTTGAACTCCTGACCTCGTGATCTGCCCACCTAGGCCTCCCAAAGTGCTGGGATTAGAGGCGTGAGCCACCGCACCTGGCCCATGATAAGCATCTTTTTTTTTTTTTTGAGACAGAATCTCACTCTGTCGCTCAGACTGGAGTACAGTGGTGCAATCTCAGCTCGCTGAACCTCTGCCTCCAGGATTCAAGCAATGTTCTTGCCTCAGCCTCCCGAGTAGCTGGGACTATAGGTGCACGCCACCACGCCTGGCTAATTTTTTGTATTTTAGTTGAGATGGGGGTTTCGCCATGTTGCCCAAGCTGGTCTTGAACTCCTAAACTCAGGTAATCCGCTCACCTCAGCCTCCCAAAGTGCTAGGATTGCAAGTGTGAGCCACCATGCCTGGCCGATAAGCACCTTCTTAACCAACCCTGGACACTTCGGCAAGCTTTCTACCATATTAAGCCAAGAAGTCTTATCGGTATTTTGCACATAGTGGACCGACTCGGGAGAGATCTGTAACGGCATGGCCAATATCATTGCTAAGCAGGGATACCACTTTTTGCTTTAAATTGATGCTCAAAAGCCCACACACTGGCTGTTAATCGGTCAGAATGGAGATCCACCAATTCCCCCCATTGCATCTCACCTTAAATCACTTTCTGTTTATGATCTTCATTGCCACCTACGTGATTTTTTAAATGACATGAATCTGGGGATCCTATATTACCAGTATCTTGGCTGGGCGTGGTGGCTCACACCTGTAATCCCAGCACTTCGGAAGGTGGAGGCGGGCAGATCACTTGAGGTCAGGAGTTCAAGACCAGCATGGCCAACATGGTGAAATCCCAGCTCTACTACAAATTACAAAAATTAGCCAGGAGTGGTGGCACTAGCCTGTAATCCCAGCTACTAGGAAGGCTGAGGCAGGAGAATCACTTGAACCATAGAGACGGGGGTTGCAGTGAGCCAATGTTGCATCACTGCACTCCAGCCTGGGCAATAGAATGAGACTGTTGTCTCAAAAAATAAAAAATAAAGCCAGCAACTCACTGCCCAGCTCTCAATGCTAGAACCAGCAGGATATGTGAATTTTGATAGGCTTCTGTTTCAATCCAGGATTTTCCTTTACTAGCTCTCTGACCTCATCTCCAAAATTATTCCTTTGTTTATTAAAATGAGGTAACCAATTAAAATGGTCTAGCATAGGGCCTGGCATATAGTGATTTTGTAACTAGAAATTAATTTTCTATACTACCTAGTTTCAGTTGTCACTTAAATATGTATTTGGTCTGCGGTGACCCCAGTGTTCAACTCTCAATTCTACCCTGCAGTCACAGAACAAATGAAAAAGCTCTAAAGCAGCAAATATTCAGTCTCCTGCTTCTTGCAAGTAGACCTGAAAAGCAAAGGAAGTCGTCAACTATTGATTAGAATTGGGGGAAATCTTAAATATTAGCTAGCTATCCAAACTGACACTTGAAGTGTGCTAAAGAAAACATGCTCATTCCCAAACCCAGCACTGTATTTTTAACATTTGAAATTATAAAGGCAAGAACATTAACACGAAGTTTAGAAAAACTGAGTGAATAGCCTGGTGCAGTGGCTCAATATCTGTAATCCCAGCTGGAGGAGCACTTGAGGTCAGGAGTTCGAGGCCAGCTTGGGCTACCAAGTGAGACCCCATCTCTACAAAAAGAATTTTTAAATTAGCTGGGCACAGTGAAGCACGCCTCTCTTCCTAGTACTTGGTAGGCTGAGGCAAGAGGATCACTGACCCCAGGGTTGAGGATGCAGTGATCCATGATCACACCATTGCACTCCAGCCTGGGTGGCAGAGCGAGTCCCTGATTCTCAAAAAGAGAAAAGCAGGGTGACATTTGAATCTAAGGCTCAAATATAGCAATCGTGTTTACTTATTCCTTTTCCACAACCTACTCTTTGCAACATTAGTCATAATGTAAATGCACTTTTTAAGCTATTTTACAGTGTCAGTGTTACCAATGGCATTCTTGGTAAAGTTGGGTCATTCTTGAGTTTTTGAAAACTACTGAAAAATTGATTTTCAAAAAAGTGGTAGTGGCTTAATGAGTATCCCGAGTATCCCCCACCCCTTGCAGCTACCAGTCAGAAGCCTGAGTACTAGCACAGGTTTTGAAGGCAAACTGGACTTCTAGCTACGTTCTATTTGACTGTCAGTAGACTAAACTTTCTGGAATTATCTTTATGGTAAAGTTGGGTCAACACTTCCCAGGACTTAGGAGAAGTAAACATGGGAGGTGCTCCCAAACTCAGAGCTGCCCGGTAACATCCACAAACCCAGAGAATGGAGAAGAGCCAGCCGTTAGTGACGTAGAAAGAATTACACAAATTATTTATTAATTACAGAAATCTCATCGTGATCTGCCATGCCATTTTTGGCAAAACAAAAACATCATGCTCGTCCCTGAGCTATGATGTTAGGTCTTCTGGTTAATTAGCAGTAACATCTTCTGTAGCTGTGTGTCCAGTGCTATGTGAAGGTGTACGCATCACCTTCATTTAACTTTGTTTCCACCATGCCTAAGCCCGTAGGTTCTCAAATTTACTGCACTGTTCAACTGCCAAATTCTGTGTCCTTCAACTCAGTGCATAATCCTGAGACCTGGGACACAGTTAAAAGGGCAGGTGCCACCAAGTTACAATTGAAATGGGTTTTTTCTCCAGAGGATTAGTTGATATTAACCACTTGCTTATAGTAATAGGGTATTAATGCTCAAGAGGGAAATGATCCCTTAACCCTCTCTACTTCCCTTTTCTCTTAAGGAACTTGGCCTTTCAAGGATAAATTTCTTTCTTACCAGTCTCTGTGTGAGGCATCTCAGCAGAAGACATTTGCAAGGATGGATGGTTTTCTTCAGACCCACAAACCGCAGGTGGAGGTGACCAGTCTTTACAGTCGGATGCTTCGGAGCAAGGCAGGTTTTATGGACAAGCTGGATTCACACTCATGTCATTATTGGAGAAGAGTAGGAAAAATTTAAGAAGTGGACTGGAAAAAAGGCTAAGATGGCTTTAAGACTTTTTTCTGGAAGATCTTAGAGAAATATGACCTCCAGGAGCGAAAGTATCAAGAAGTTGGGATGAAGTGAGTCGCCTTCACAGCAACAGGAGGCAACCAGCTCAGTCCAGCACAATGTTAAAAGCCTGGAGTCTCTAGATTTATAATGAAGGCTCTATCACCCTTCGACCCACACCTCCTGGCGGGCACACCCCCACCCTTGTGAATTCTCAGTTAATCCCGTCTGCCAGTCTCACCAAGGCCATTGTAATGCAAAAGTAGCTGCGGAGTAACCCAGACGAGGTCGGGCACTAGAAAACTGGACAACAGAACCTGAAGACAAATCCAGCAATAAATACTTCTAGGTTCACCACGTTTCCAACTTTCAAATCAGGAATGATGATATTGTCATGTCTTTCAATATTACCTCATGCCCATCTTGTGTGTTTGGGGGGTTTTTTGAGGTGGGAGGGAGGTGTGTTTTCCAAAGGAATAAAGTTTTTAGAGTTGGATTCCAGCACTAACATTTACGGTCATAAATAGTCTAAAGTGGCCTGGTGCAGTGGCTCATGCCTGTAATCCCAGCACTTTGGAAGGCTGAGGTGGGCAGATCATTAGGTCAGGAGATCGAGACCATCCTGGCTAACATGGTGAAACCCCGTCTGTACTAAAAATACAAAAAATTAGTTGAGCATGGTGTCATGCATCTGTAGTCCCAGCTACTCAGGGGGCTGAGGCAGGAGAATCACTTGAAGCCGGGAAGTGAAGGTTGCAGTGAGCTGAGATCGTGACACCGCACTCCAGCCTGGGTGACAGAGTGAGACTCTGTCTCAAAAAAAAAAGTCTAAAGTTTTCCATTGTCTTTTCTATTCCCAAACCCAACATTCAAGAAACCTGGCCAGGTACAGAGGTTCACGCCTGTAATACCAGCACTTTGGGAGGCCGAGGTAGGTGAATCACCTGAGGTCAGGAGTTCAAGATCAGCCTGGCCAACATGGTGCAACCTCATTTCTACTAAAACACACAAAAAAATTAACTGGACTGCAGTGGTGGGTGCCTGTAATCCCAGCTACTCAGGAGGCTGAGGCAGGAGAATTGCTTGAACCCAGGAGGCGGAGGTTGCAGTCAGCCAAGATCGTGCCACTGCACTCCAGTCCGGGTGACAGAGTGAGACCCTGTCTCAAAAAAAAAAAAAAAAAAAGAGAGCGAGAAAATAAAAAGAAACCTAAGATTTCTTTCTCTTTTCCAATCTCCCACCCAGAAAAGTAAACTGTTAGCAAGTCTCAATTATGTAATTTTTGAAGACACAACTCTGACTCATTTTCCTCTGCACTCTGCCCCTAAGGTCTGTACCCGGAGCAGTTGGCTTTGCTCCCACACAAGCTGACTTTTGTCATGCAAAGACTCCGACTGTTGAGAGTAAAAGTACTGCTGGGTGAGAAGCAAGGAGATGAAATGTGGCGTAATCTTTTTTCTTCTCAGACCTCCATTCTGGAGAAGAGTCAGAACAGAGTCATCGGGGAGCAGGTAAGTGGAACTAGGTATATCATGCTTCAGGCAGGTAGTCCATGTCTCATTAGAAATAGGAAGATTTATTTAAAAAAGGGAAAAACTTGCCCTCCTGTCTTTCTTAATTAGCACAGTTTGGTAAGTGGGGGCTGTCAAGGCCATCAAGACTCACCAAGGCTGAGCTTGCCCGCAGCTCTCCAAAGGGCAGGTACCAGAAGCTTTGTTCTTTGCTGAAGGGGGACTTCGCATAAAAATCTGAGCTGAATTCCCCTGTCCCCCTCTCCCTGTCCCATTGTGTCTAGGGTAAGAGTCTAGGGAGTGAAAGATCAAAGGGAAGGGGGCTTGTGGCTGGAAGGCCAACTCACTACGTTCTTTGCCAAGGAAAGCCATTTGAATACAGTTGAGGTTTAGGAAGCTGACTTCAGATTTGTTGGAACAGGCTGGCGTAAGGATGTGTTAAAATGAGCTAGCAATTTAGTAGAGTAGATCAAAACAGACCAAAAAGGCAATTATAATCTTGTGTGATAAGTACTGAAAAAAGTGCACTGGATGCTAAGAGAGTACAAATAATAGAGGTTGGGGTGGGGGAGGGATGGGCAGGGAAGACTAGACAATCTTCAGTGATCTGAGAAGGAAAAACGTGGAGAGAAGAGAATTCCAGAAAATTAACAGTTTGGGTAAAGGCACCAGAGAAAATGATGGGTTCCAATACCATTGTTTAGCAGGACTCAAAGGCAGGGGGGCAACAGAAGGGAGTTGTGGGAGAAAACACGGCAACTAACACTTAGTGAGCAGATCACTGTCAGAGTCTTGTGAACCAGAACGACTCCATCTTAAATAGGAGCTGGGGAAAATGAGGCTGAAACCTACTGGGCTGCATTCCCAGATGGTGAAGGCATTCTAACTCACAGGATGAGACAGGAGGTCAGCACAAAATACAGGTCATAAAGACCTTGCTGATAAAACAGGTTGCAGTAAAGGAACCAGCCAAAACCTACCAAAACCAAAATGGCAGAGAGAGTGACCTCTGTTCATCCTCATTACTACACTTCCATCAGCACCACGACAGTTTAGGAATGCCAAGTCAACCTAAAGAAGTTATCTATATGGTCTGAAAAGGGGAGGCATGAATAATCCACCCTTGTTTAGCGTATCATCAAGTAATAGCCATAAAAAAGGGGAACCAGGCGACCAGGCTCATGCCTGTAACCCCAGCACTTTGGGAGGTCAAGGCGGGTGGATCATCTGAGGTCAGGAGTTCGAGACCAGCCTGACCAATATGATGGAACCCTGTCTTTACTAAAAATACAAAAATTAGCTGGGCGTGGTGGCACACACCTGTAATCCCATCAGGAGGCTGAAGCAGGAGAATCGCTTGAACCTGGGAGGCAGAGGTTGCAGTGAGCAGAAATCACGCTCCTGCACTCCAGCCTGAGCAACAAGAGCGAAACTCCGTCTCAAAAAAAAAAAAAAAAAAAGTAGGGGAACCAGGTCAGGCACAGTAGCTCACGCCTATAATCCCAACACTTTGGGAGGCCGAGGTGTATCACCTGAGGTCAGGAGTTCGAGACCAGCCTGACCAACATGGAGAAACCCATCTCTACTAAAAATACTAAATTAGCCGGGTGTGGTGGTGCACACCTATAATCCCAGCTACTCGGGAGGCTGAGGCAGGAGTGTCGCTTCAACTGGAGAGGCAGAGGTTGGAGTGAGCCGAGATCACACCATTGCACCCCAGCCTAGGCAACAAAAGCGAAACTCAGTCTTAAAAAGAAAAAAAAAAAGACAACCAGCAACGCTCTGAGCTGCTCTGTCTATGGAGTAACCTTTCTTTTATTCCTTTACTTTCTTAATTTTGCTTTATTTTCTTAAGTTGCTTTCACTTTGCCTTGCAGACTTGCCCTGAATTCTTTCTTGCACTAGATCCAAGAACCCTGTCTTGGGGTCTGGATCGGGATCCTTTTCCCGTAACATTAATATGCATGAGGCACTGTCTTGTCCATATTGTAGCCATCTTAATTATATCTAGCCCAGGGCCTGATACCTGTGTATGTATATATTTGATCATGTTGGTTTATATGGAGGTGGAGATGTCAAATTGGTCATTGGAAATTAGAGTCCAGAGATCTGAGAAGTAATAGGTGACCACAGGTAGAAAAAGACTGTACACTTTAAATTAAGTATTTTCTAATTAGTCTATATTCTCCTGGTATTTCTTTTCTTTCTTTTTTTTTTTTTTTTTTTGAGACGGAGTCTTGCTCTGTTGCCCAGGCTAGAGTACAGTGGCACGATCTCAGCTCACTGCAACCTCCACCTCCTGGGTTCAAGCGATTCTCCTGCCTCAGCCTCCTGAGTAGCTGGGATTACAGGTGCCTGCAACCGTGTCCGGCTAATTTTTTTGTATTTTTAGTAGACATGGGGTTTCACTATCTTGGCCAGGCTGGTCTCAAACTCCTGACCTCGTGATCCACCCACCTCAGCCTCCCAAAGTGCTGTGATTATAAGTGTGAGCCACCACGTCTGGCCTCTCCTGGTATTTCTCCTACTATCTCGGCTCACTGCAACCTCCACCTCCCGGGTTCAAGCGATTCTCCTGCCTCAGCCTCCAGAGCAGCTGGGACTACAGGCGTGCGTCACCACACCCAGCTAATTTTTGTACTTTTAGTAGAGATGGGGTTTCACCATGTTGGCCAGGATGGTCTCGATCTCTTGACCTTGTGATCCACCAGCCTCGGTCTCCCAAAGTGTTAGGATTACAGGCATGAGCCACTGTGCCCGGCCAGTCCAAAATCTTAAAGCCATCTTTGTCAACTATGCCTTCAAAATATATCTAGAATTCAATGGCATCTTTCTTGTAATTTGATTTCTTTCATATGCTTCTGTTTTCCACTGTTGAGTGAGTTTTTGATCATCACATGAACAAAAGGGCTTTGTGAATCAGCAGAGTGTCAAAAAATGATTATGCTTTTTAAAAACATGCATTTCTTTATTTCTTTCATTACTGTTTGTATCACAGGACTGCTGGGCTGGAGATGACCTGTTTCTCTTGCCAAAAGGGTAGGTTCATATTTGGCATGTGTGCCAACCCAAGCTGCAGCTGACCTTTCCTAAGTGCTATAATGAAGAATCAAGTGAAGGATAGGGAGGGGGACACTTCATTAAGGAGGTCATATTAAAGCTAGGTAGATTTCTGGAGGAAGAACCAGAGACAAAACATTGGTGGCAAAAGCCCTGATTCTGGAGATTTCCTGCCTTCTTCCCAGATCACTAAGGGGCCAACTTAATGGTGCTATGGGAGAACCCAAGGAGACAAAGACAGAGTGTAAAGTACAGGGCTAGAGGAAGGATTCTGTGATTCAGCAGTTTGGCTTGTGACTCTGAATGAGAAAAAGCCAAAGGAAGATTTTGATCTAAGGAGTATCTTGATATGACCATCTTTAAA